ACTCATAATGTCATTTTTCAAGTGCTTTTTATGCAGACCATCCAAACAAATTCCAAAATTTATATCTCATAGTTACTATTTGTGGGTGCTTTTGCCAGGTCATGCTACTTTCAACTCAGTAAGTCCATCTTTTAGCTTCCAACATCCGTTTCTCTCTGTTACTATTTCTATATTGACTTCTAAATGTTCTTTGAAAGACTGAAGTCTTCTCTGGTCAGTGGCATTCCCTACAGCCATTTAGTCACCAAGTTCTCGCGATACTTTTTCTTGGTATATCTCACACCCAACCCTTCTTCTTTGTACTCACTACCACCATCTCGCTTGGGAGTTTTACACTAATCAAGACTGGATTTTATTCAGTAGCCTTTTGAAACATCTACAGTTAAAGAGAGGGAGACATCTTTGGGGGAAAAGAGTTGCCTTTCCAATATCCATGAAACCATGCTGAATTAGCAGCTCCCCCTGCCTTCTATTATGAAAATTATTTTGATTTCACATAAGACATAAAAAGGTAGTGAACCCAGATAATCTTCTAATTCCTTTGCTTCCCTGTTTTATCATCCTAAAAAAAGAAAAAATTAAGTAAATAAATGAACAGCAGCTGGCCTGAGGGTAACTGGCCAGAGAAGTAACTGAAGAACACATCTGAGCACAGCTGTCCAGGTAGTCATCATCAGAGATAGTGATGCTCATGTAAGCCACTGATGTCATGGAAGAGGGGAAAAAAGTTAAAATACATTTAGAAGTAAATTTGATCACTTTTAATTAAAACTATCAAAAAGTTTTTTAATTGAAAGTATATATTGAAAATCGTCTAGATACTTGCTAGATATTGTCTAGGTACTTGACTATCATACTCATACCTGGGTGTGGCTATTTATTTAAGATTTGGAGTCCTGAAGCCACAACAGCAGAGCTGATCAGGAAGAGGGAACTACGGCGGGAGAGATTTACTTACGAGGCGGATTTCGAAGATTTCATGATGCCTTTTCAGAAGAACATCAAAGAAAAAGCTCAAGCAATGGAAGCTGCCTTGAAGACCTAAATCACAGCATTTGCTTCTTGGGATAAATGTTTTGAGGTCCAGGGACCAAACTTTGGAGAAAGTCAATATTTCCATCAAAGCCAAAGCAATCCATACATTAAGAATTTGTTATCAAATATTTGTTTTAACCACAGTAAACATGCTGAGCTATCTGGAGAAGATGTATTCTATTTTGCAATGAGTGGCATGTCATTCTGGATAAATCCCCTAATCCACTTTAAGAATATAGTGGAATACTTAGCCTTTGTGTCTTAAACATTATTGTCAAAAAAGTACTTAGATATACATATTATGTTTACTAAAGATATAATTCTAGTGGAAATTGATGAAAATAATTTAGTATTAAGAAAGAGATGAAGTATTCAACCCTTTAAGTGTGTTAAATGTGTTTCTCAATGCCATTATAACTGATGTGTATTAGATACCTTGAGTCAAATAAACTTTTGACACCGCCATTTCTCCTCTGCTCTGGGATTTTAGTGCTTTCAGGCCTGACTTAAACTTGTACAGCAGGGCAGATGTGCCTGAGAATTTGTATCCCCCTGGAAGCAACTCTCAACCTGTCATGACCAGATTGAGTGTATTAGCACTCCAGCTCCCTCCCCACTCAGGTGGGATTCTGAAGTGCAGGTCCTCACTGGCTCCTGGAGTTCCCCAGTGGGACTAAGATCAAGTCACCCAGTGGCCATTTGTTTGACAACACACGCTTTCTTGTCTCACTTCTTCCCTCCCCTTCTGGTTTCTATAGAGACCACCTCCCAAGTACTCACACACCTACATCCTCATCTCTAGGAAATTAGCACTTAAGTGAACAATTTAATCTACAGACCTTATTCAGATTTTGCTATTTGTCCCAATAATATCTTTTGTAGCAGAAGAAAATCTCAGATTTTGGGATGCATTCAGTTGTTACATCCCTTTAAGCTTAGAATTTTCTTTTTCTTTCTCTCCTTCCTTCCTTCCTTCCTTCCTTCATGACATTAATATATAAGTAGAATACAGGACATTTACTTTGTAAAATGTCTCTCAGTTTTT